TGGCGTTGGAGCAGGTGTCCCCCCGGTCCACTCACTGGGGGCCGCACGTCACCTGGGGCCTGACCCTGGCTCCTCCTGGCTCTGGAGAATCCTGCCCTTGGGGAAGCAGTGCCGGCTGCTGGGGAAGCAGTGTTAGCTGCGGGACCACCCGGCAGGCTGGGTGCCAGCCCCTGGACCTTCTGCTGTGTCCCCATGGGCGGGGGCCTCTCAGAGCCCCTCTGGCCACAGAGTTCCTGCCCACCCAGGGCCGGCCTTTCGGAGCCTCTTGCTGGCTCTGATGCAGACTGGGCCTGCCAGGGAGCTGGGGGAGCAGACGTGGGCCCTGACAAGAGCTGTCTGTCCAGTGCCAGGCAGCGGGGGAGGGTGAGCTGGGCTGGCTTAGCACCCCAGGCAATGCTGCAGGGCCCAGGGGGGTCCCGGACCTCACTGGCCAGAACCAGGCGGAGGGCTCTAGGTGGAAACCCGGCACCGTGGGGGGGCTTGGGGCTGGGCCTGGGGGTGGTGGGTGGGTCAGGTACCGCCTCTGGGTCTCCCAGCCTCTCGCAGGGCCCTCCAGAGCCCGGAACGCCAAGGTGCCCCTCCCTGGCGCCCTGTGCCATCTCGCTGAACCTCAGGCAGTGATGTGGGGATGGGGGTCTCAGGACCTGAGCAGAGAGCACCTGGCTCAAGGGTGCTGTGCCCGAGGGAGGAGCCCCCGAGGGCAGGCCTGGCGGGAGGCTCCGTCTGTCCAGAGGGGAGGCCCCGGGCGTTTTCTGAGCCCAGCAGTGGGTCCTGGCCCCCAGGCTCCTTCTCCAAAGCCTGGCCAGGCAGGGGCGACAGGCCCTTGGCACCGGAGCCCTGGGACCCATTGTCCTAGCACTGTGGAGGGGGCTTGGGCTGCCTGCCCGCCGTGTAACCATGGCGACTGGGGGGTGGGCCCAGGTCTGCTGGTAGGACTAGGGTTGTGGGAGGTCCTTGGAGAGACGTGGTCCGCGTTTCAAGGGGCACGGGCCCCGCCTGGGTGAACTGTGGATGCAGAGAAGGGCCGCATGACCAGCAGTGGGTGCTGGGCAGGCCAGGGGGGCAGACTGACCCCGTGTGCCATCCTTGAGCTATCCCAGCCGCCAGGCCTCTGCGTCCAGCAGGCTCCAGCCCCCGGGGTCAGGGCCTCAGAAGCCGGGTAAAGCCCCCTCCTCTGAGCAGAGCAGCCGGACTCGAGCCCCCGTCTGAGAGGGCACAAGTGAAGTGGACTCGCCAGACCCCTGGGCTCACCTCCACCCCACCCCACGGGCCAGTAGCTGGGTCCTCTGCGCCAAGACGGGGGTGGTCCTCCACGGTGCCCCCAAATCCCGGAGACTGCGGGAACCAGAGAGGGTCTGGGTTGTGGCATCGCACTGAGTTCTCTGAACACTAACCATGGGCCGTTCGGTCCTGGCCTCGGCAACGCCGGTCTCCACCCACGTCACAGAGGAGGAAACTGAGGCCTGGAGAGGGGCCCACACGGCCCCGCCGGGCTGCCAAGCCCTTGCAGCTCCTCTCCAAGCCTCCAGGCATCTGCTGTCTTCCCCGCAGGGTGGGCGTCGGCGCCTCGTGGCCCCTCCAGAGGCCTGGGCAGTGGGGTGTGTGTACGCAGCCGGGGAGGAGGGCTTCCGGGGGCATCTGTCCTGCCTCTTTGGGGTGTCAGGGCACTGAGGGCAGCCGTCTCTCCCCTGCAGGCATCTACATCCTCATTGCCGTGGGTGCTGTGATGATGTTTGTTGGGTTCCTGGGCTGCTACGGAGCCATCCAGGAGTCCCAGTGCTTGCTGGGGACGGTAAGGCCCCGGGCCGGGGCCAGGCTGAGGGTGAGGGCTGCGGGGCTGGCCGGGGGCAGAACCGGGGGCAGAACCGGGAACTCCGGTGGAGACAGAACGCCTTCAGTCCCCAACGTGGAGCCTGGTGCCCCCCTGGCCAGTCTAACCCTGCGGACCTCCCCCAGAATGCCAGCTCTCCGGTTTCCCCAATCGGGTCTCAAATCCCTCCGAGGTGGACTGCCGTTACGTCTAGTTCTTTGTCTAGTTTCTACTGAGTTCCAAAGTTGCTTTTTCTTTTTCTTCCTTAAAAAAAGCCAGCTATAATAGTGAGTGAGTCCCAGTCCCAGAGCCAGCCTCAGGTGCCCCTAGGCATGTCACCCACCGAAGGGAAGCGGAGGCCTGGCTGTGCTGCCCAGGGCCTGGCGTCTGGGAGACGTGGGCTGCAGGAGGCTGTGCCTGTGTCTCCGGTGGGCGAGCCCAGGCACACCACGGCGACACCCTTCCCGTGGGCTTTGCCTCCCTGCCCTTTCCGACCCACCCAGAACCAACCATGGCCTCCCCTCCCACACCCACCCCATCCTGTGGAGCCTGGTCCCTCGGGGGCGATGAGAACATTGGCATCTCGCTGCCGGGCCGAGTCCTAGACTCTGCTTCTCGGCCCCACGCCTCTCATCCGGTCGGGTCCTGGGTGGGTGGATACCACCGGCCACCCCGCGCATGCTGGCCGGTCACTGGGGCCTCAGGAAGGCCCGGGCCCTCTCTGGCCAGCTCTGACCTGCCCTCTCCGCCGTGCCCTCCCCTTTTCAGTTCTTCACCTGCCTGGTGATCCTCTTCGCCTGTGAAGTGGCTGCCGGCATCTGGGGTTTTGTCAACAAGGACCAGGTGAGGCAGTGTCTGTGGGGAGGGGCAGGAGGGCTGCTGGTGGGGAGGGGGAAGGGGCTCGGGCTGCGGGGGAGGGGTCGGTCTGCAGGGTGCTTTGGGAGGGCTCTTCCCGGTAGGAAGCCCACAGAGGGCTTTCTGGAAGAGGCAGCATGGCGACCGAGCGGAAGGCAGGGTCACCTTCTCTAGGGCTCAGTGGCGGGCAGGTCTGTCCTGGGAGTGATACCTTCCGGGAGAGCCAGGTGAGGGCATGGCGGGGGGGGGGGGGGGCAGTCCTGCTGTGCTGTGACCGCCTCCCTCCCCAGATCGCCAAGGATGTGAAGCAGTTCTACGACCAGGCCTTGCAGCAGGCCATAATGGACGACGACGCTAACAATGCCAAGGCTGTGGTGAAGACCTTCCACGAGACGGTACAGGGGAGCCGGGGGACCGGGGGAGAAGCGGGGGCCGCGGAGGGTGTCCAGAGGGGCCGGCGGACCAGGGGAGAGGCGGGGGCCGGGGAGGGCGTCCAGGGGCCTGGGGTTTTGTCCTCTCAGTGAGACCTCAGCCAGGAGCGGGAGGGGCATTGGAACCTGGGGAGATTCTGAGGGACCTGGGGGTCCCCGGTGGGAACTAGATGAGCCAAGGAAGATGGGGTGCAGGGGTCTCTGCGCAGTATAGCTAAGTGGGAGGAGGGGCAGAGTGGGCCCCCTGGGCTCCGTTCTCCCCCTGGAGGGAACCCGCCCAGCTCCCCGCCCCCACGCCTGGCCGACGCAGCTCCTGGGGCCTCTGTAGCCTGCGGGCCACGTGTCCAGGGCTGACGGCGGGCGCCCTCCATCTCTGCAGCTTAACTGCTGTGGCTCCAACGCGCTGACCACAGTGACCACCTCTGTGTTCAAGAACAGCCTGTGTCCCTCAAGCAGCAACGTCATCAGTAACTTGCTAAAGGTGTGTGGTGATGGGTGGGGCCTCCCAGGGTGGGGCGGGGCCTGCCCGCTCCCCCATTTGGCTGCCACCCCTGGTGGGTCCTGGGCGGTGGCTGGCCCTCTCGGGGCTCCCGCTGGCAAGGGCAAGGACACGGCCATACTGGGCAGTGCTGTGGCTGGAGTTGGGGCTGCTCTGCCTGGGGGCCGAGGCCAAATTTTTGCTGCCGGCCGGCCCATGGGGAGGCGAGTCTCTGGCCCAGGTTCCCGATGGGGGAGCCCTCTGAACCTGGCATGGAGGTGCCCTGACCTCCCGGGTCAGCCCTGTCGCGGCGGTGCTTCCCAATCTCTTGAGTGCGAGAGGGCGCACACGGCACACTCGCCATTTCCGTGTTTGTTTAAAACGGATGTGAGGTAAAACCTGGCAGAGACTAGGCCCTGTTCACGCCTCTGCTGAGGGGTCCTGGAGGGCAGGGCTGTGCCCCTCTGTGCTCCTTCTGCAATGACCCTGGGCCACGGCCTCGCCGGGGGCTGAGGACGGGCACCTCTGAACGCTGTCTGGCCGCCCCCGCAGGAGGACTGCCACGGGAAGATCGACGAGCTCTTCTCGGGGAAGCTGTACCTCATCGGCATCGCCGCCATCGTGGTGGCTGTGATCATGGTGAGTGGGGCGGGCCTGGCATCTGCTCAGGGTCCCCCCGCGGGTCTCCGGGCACTGACCCACCTGCCCGCCCCCACCCCCTTCTCCGCAGATCTTCGAGATGATCCTGAGCATGGTGCTTTGCTGTGGCATCCGGAGCAGCTCGGTGTACTGAGGCCGAGGCCGCAGGGAGGGCCGCTGGGACCCCTGCAGGGCCCCCAGAGCGACCCGGACACTTCTGAGAAGGGGCCGTCACCACCTGTGTATATAACCTCCTGGTATCACTGCTACACTTATCAGCCTTTTTACTTTTGAGGTTCTGTTCTTGTCCTGAAGTTCCCTGTTGCTTTCGGGGGTGATGTCACCTGTAGGTGGCATGTGAGTGGCCTTGGGGACTGCAGGGCAGGGGCCCCCTCTGCTTTTGGGGCTGCTCGGGGGTTCTGCTTGCTCAGCCGGGCCTCTCCTCGGGGCCACGAAGGGCCGTCCGGCCAAGCTGCACCCTCCTACCCACCCGTCCCCACGGGTGGCACACGCTCAGCCTTTTTTAATCCTTGTTCCTTTCCGGCCACCTGTCTCTAGAGCCGGGTCCACGAGCAGCCTTATGCCTTCAACGCACCTCTCCTTTCTAACGCGTCACCTTCGATTGTAATTACATCTTGAAAGTCATTCAATAAAGAAGGAAAAATCAGGCATGCTACCACGATGTCCGGCCCCTTCCTGTGCCCATGGTGTCTGAGACCCAGGGGCAGCCCGAGGAGCCTGGCGCAGGCGGTGCTCAGCTCTTTGGACCTCGCTGGGCCCAGGCTGTGCTGCCGACCCTGTTGGTGGGTGTCTGTGGGGCGCCCAGAAGGACTCCGCGGAGGGAGTGCCCCTTTGTTGGGCCTTTGGAGCAGCCTCCACCCCCATTCCTTGTGCACCACTGCCCAGCAGGGTCTGTGCGGGGCAGGCAGGCGGCCCAAGAATGTGGTACCGGATGTGGGGCCCCTGCAAGACTCCCCGCCCTCCTGAGGTCCAGCTCAGGAGGATGGACACACTGCTCCCTCCCAAGGGTCTGAGGGGCTCTTCTCTGACCTTCTAGTTGCTTGCAGACGTCCCGTCATGGGGCTGGGTGCCCATATCTTGCAGAGGCTGGAGGGCAAGGCCTCAGCCACTACCTGGGGGAGCCTACCTGGCCCACCACCGTGGACTGAGGCCCAGTCACCTCTTGGGTAGGCTGCTGCCCCCAGCGGGAATGCTGGGTGATGTCACCATTAGCTGCATGCAGGTACCCCCCTGCACGTACATTAACTTGACCTCTTGAGACAAGTCCCTGGCTGGGATTCATACGTCAAGGGCTCCCTGGGGCCTCCTTGGGGGGCTGATTTTGGAAACTAACCCCAGCCCTGCATTGGGGGTCACAGGGCCTCAGCGGGCCTGCCCTTCCACAGTCCAAGGGGGTGCTGGTGGGTTGGGAAAACTGGATGGCCCAAGGAACCAGCTCCTTTTTACTTCTCCCTGTGCTGCGAAGCCCTGGGAACATCCTGGCCGAGGCCTGGGTGTCACCCCTGCTAGCTGCGGTGTGAACTAGCTGCCTGCGGTGGCCTGGACTCCGCGTTCCCGGTGAGGCCCTGCATGGGGGTGGCCTTAGGGATGATCAGAACGGGCCCTGTTTCCTCTCTGGGTCCCTGGGCTAGGCCGCAGCATGGCCTGAACCCTGGATTCCAGGGCTGCAACCCGGGGCGAGGGAGCGCGCTCTGGCCGTCCAGCAGGCGAGGCGTCAGCAGGGAAAGGGCGCCGGCCGCCTGGGCCCCGGGCCGAGGTACGTGCGGCCCGTCCAGGGGAGACTGGGATCTGCCCTGAGCTTCCGGGCAGAAATAACCAGGCAGGCCATCGACCATCGGCAGGAATAGGTAGGGGCGCCTCTCCCAGGAGAGCTGCCGCACGGCGGGCCCGGGCAGTCGGGAGGTTGGCACGAGCGCGCAACCTCAGGCACGCCCCGCTGCCCAGCTCCCGGGACCCACGAGGGCGTGGCCGGCCGCTCTAGGCCAGGACCGGAAGTGCCCGGGAACAGCGCCGCACGCGTCGATGCACTTCCGGTCCTCGCGGCTTCCGGCAAGCGGCGCTGCGGCCCCGGGAACGCGGCGCTGGCCGTTAGCCCTCGAGCATTCTGGGAGTCGTAGTTCGGCCCCCCAGCCTCCCTCCTGGCCTTAGTCAATTCCGGCCTCTTCGCGAGAGAGCGCCGTTTCCGGGAGGGAAGACAGCGAATGCGCAGAGACCACACTCCCGACAGGCCTCGGGAGTAGCGGCCCAGTGACTTGTGGGAAATGTAGTTCTTCAGGCGCGGAAGCCGCGGCCCTCAGCCGGCAGAGGACTCAGTTTCCCAGAGGGCCGAGCGCGGCGCAAGATGGAGGCAGCCAGGCCGCGGTGAGCCGGTAGGTTTGTGGTGGGGAAGACGGCGCTGCTGGGCGGTCGGGCTTCGGGAGGCTGCTGTCCGCAGTCTGCTGCGCCGAGCAGGGAGGCCCTCGTGAGGCCCGGACCCTTGGCCCATCCACCCGAGTTGGCCCCAGAACTTAAGCTCCCGACACGGAGAACCTGTTGGGCACGGGCCGAGGCCCTGGGCGCGTGGAGTGGAGAAAGTCAAGGGTCCGCCTCCCAGGGGAGCGAGACAACCAGCAAAGAAGCCAGTGTTCTCTGGGACCTGGCCTGCCCGGATTCCGGCCCTGAGAAAACCCCGCTTCCGAGCCCCCCAGGCCCTCAGCCTGTATTCATTTCTGCCCTGCGCTGAGCTCGGGAAGTTCTCGGAGAACTCAGAGATGCAGACCCCGCATTCCCTGTCTTGGGGCGCGATCCCCGTCTCCCCACGGCGTGTCCCACTCACCACGGGCGTTCCCGCGATTCCAGGGGACGGGGTTGCAAATGTAGGAAGCCGGAGTCCGGTTTGAACTCCAGCTTTGCCTGCAACGTACTGTATGACGGGCAAATCCTTCCCCGCTCCGGTCCTGCCAGCTCTAAAACAGACACCATTGGCGTTTACTTCGTGTCCCCTTTCCTGGAGTTGTGCCTTCATTTTGGGAGTCACGCGAGGCCCAGAGGAATGGAGATCTTGCCTGTGTCTGACCTGCTGCCGGGCACTCAGAGACACTCCTGGTCTGCCTGGCCTGGTCCTCGGTGGGTGCACGAGCAAGGGGTCACCCTGGGCCAGGGAGGCTTGGTGGGAAGAGGGAGTTGGTGGACGGATGGCTGTGCGGAGGGTGAGACTGGGCTGTCCTCTGAGCCTGGAAACAAGCTTCAGGGTGCCTGGTGACAGTGGAACACTAACCAGGTGTTAGCAGCACTTCTCTGCTCAGCTGGGAAAGTGAGGGGTGTGCGGAGGAGCATAGGACAAATGCCCCAGGAGCTGTGGGGCTGGCCTCTGTGGAGCAAGGCCGCTCCGGCTTCCTGAGCGCTTGACCCGCAGATGCCAAGGATGTGTCTGCAGACTCCTCTGGAGCTCCAGGGCATCTCACAGCGGTCAGGAGCACACCTCGCACACCTCCTCCCCACGGAGGAGGCAGGCCTCCCGGCCTTTGTGGAGTACCCACTGCCTACCACGCAGCGTGCTTGGCTGAGAGAGGGAGTGCAGAGCAGAGGTCGCTCTCGGCCCTGGGTTCAAGCCCTGGCTGGCTGCTTACTACCAGAACCCCCGCCCCCGCCCCCCCCCTGCAGCAGGCCTCCTAGTGGCTTTAGTCAGACTGGCTGGAAAGGATTGAATGAGGTGACACGTCAGAAGGACCAGCTCCTGGGCTTGGCTGTGTCAGGGGCTCTGTAAACCCAGGCCCACTCCCGGGGTGGTGGCTCCACTCCAGCATGTCTGCTGTCTGGTCTGAGGGCTGCCTCTCCCTCCCTGCCCTCAGCCAGCCACTGAGCCACTGAGCAGAGCCGTGCCTGGCGGGGGCCGTTGCGACCAAGAATCTTCTCCAGCGCTCGGCCCACCAGCCGTCCAGCACAGGCGCCCAGCAGCCAGGGAGGTAAGAGGAGGGCTTTCGGGGCGGGGGACCTGGCCGTTCCTCCTTGGACACAGCTCTTGCTGCTGACCCTTCCCCGGGGTGGTGGGTCCGCAGGAGGGACTTGTTCTGAGCTTGTGTTGTCTCCAGTGACCGACTCCCTGGGCTGCTTTGGTGCAGGTGTGGCGTGGCTGGGGGACGCATGGCTGAGGCAGGGGACGGCCAGCACTCCGTTGGCTCCGGGGGTGCCGCTCTGTCTCCCGACCCCGTCTGCCTCAGCGACTCGGACTCCAACCTCAGCCTGCTCGATGATGCTGAAGTGGAAGCTCTGTCTCCAGGGGGGCTGCCCGGGGAGGCCCCAGGGGATTCGGGCCCCGATGAGCCCCCCTCGCCCCCCAGGAGCTTCGCCACAGCGGCGGTGCAGCCCTTCCACCTGAGAGGCACGAGCCCCACCTTCTCCCAGCGCAGCCACGACATCTTCGGCGGCCTGGAGCGGGCAGCCAGGCGGGCTCCGCCCTCTGCGGCCCCAGCCGGCCCTGGCGACAGTGGGGGCTTCCGGCAGCCGCTGACACTCTCCAGCCGGCCTCCAGCCGGGGGCCCGAGCAGGGCCACTCAGAATCCCGCTCCCCTGAGGGTGCCCCCCGTTCCTGACTACGTGGCCCACCCCGAGCGCTGGACCAAGTACAGCCTGGAGGGTGTGGCTGAGGCCAGCAAACAGAGCAACCGGGCCGCCGCCCTGGCCTTCCTGGGCCCCCAGAGCCTGGCCACCCCCAGCGGCTACGTGCCCTCCTTCAACCAGGACCCCTCTAGCTGTGGGGAGGGCCGGCTCATCTTCTCCAAACCGGTCCGAACCGGCGAGGCCCGGCTTGAGAAGAGGAGGGTCCCGAGGAAGGCAGGGGAGCCGGGTGGGAGCCCCCGCGGGATCCCGGGGGCGGCGGGGGGTGAGGGCCCCGTGGAGCTGGCCCACCTGGCCAGGCCCGGGAGCCCGGAGGCCGAGGAGTGGAGCAGACCCCGGGGGCACCTGCAGGAGGTGGGTGCACCCGAGGGGGAGGCCCTCGCGGGGTCTGGGGCCAGCGCCCTGCCAGGGGAGGCGGTGGGCTTCCACAGCAGCAGGAAGCGGAGCAGGGACCACTTCCGGAGCAAGGGCAGCAGCCCCGAGGCCCCAGGCGCGGAGGTCTGAGCGGGGAGACCGCCTGGCCGCCTGCCTGCCCTGGCTGAGCTGGAGGGACGGCCACCACTGTCCCCCCGGGGTGGCTTCAGGGGCAGAGCAGGCCCGGGGCCCAACCCCCAGGGAAGGGAGCCAGCGGGCTGCCTGTCGGTGGCACCAGCGGCCAGGGCAGAGACCTTGCTGAGGGTGTGGGCCAGGGGTTGGCGGAAACCCTGACTCACCCCGTGCCCAGGGGGACAGTAAAGGCTCTGGGTGTTCCTCAGTCTCCGTGTCTCTTTGTCAGCCCCCCTCCGCCCGGGACTGTGGCCAGGGCCCTCTCTTCTCTCCAGACACCCCATCACCCTGTTCCCACATTGGAGCCTCCCAGCTTAGCGTCAGGGGGCTCTGAAGGTTTCTAAATCAAGCCTGTGTTCCTCAGTGGCACGTCTTCCCAGCCTAGCTGAGGTGACCCCCTCCTCAGTCCAGAGCAAGAGGTGGAGACCCCAGACCCGTCCGGAGGCGGGCTCACAGCCGTTGGTGTGCAGCCCCTGCCTCCAGCATATGCCTGTAGACCCCAGGAAGCGGCCAGCTGAGCGGGCGCCGTCTCCAGCCCTGGCCAAGCTCACCCTTGACTCTGTCCTACTCAGGCTGTGTGACGACGACCGGTGTCCTGGGACAGTGTCTCCAGGACTGCTGAGCTGCTGTGCAGGGCGATGAGGAGGGTCCCCAGAGGGTGCTGGGGAAGTAGCCGGGAGTGGGCGTGGCTTTCCTGTGACCGCACTTGGGGTTGGCCAGCCCATCGTGCTGCTGAGCCCCGGGCCTGGCCCTGCCCCTGCTGCCCCTACCCCAGGGCTCCAGGTCCCTAAGGGAAGGAGAGACTGGCCTGGCTGGCCACGCAGCTGGGGCAAGCTCAGGGGCCCAGACCCCACCCCTGCAGGGCAGGAAGTCCCTCTCCCCGCGCAGTGCTTTACTGACCGCCTGACACCTCCCAGACGCCCCCCAGGTCCACTCTCATGTGGGGCTGCAGCCCAAGGTGTGGGTGTACTTTCCAGGCTCCATTTAAGATAAAGCAGCTTTGGGGGCGGGTCCTCTTGGGGAGGTGACCCGCAGCCGCTGCCCAGGCTCGACAGCCCGGCACTCACTGTGCGAGCTGTCGGGGACGTGCGGTGGCAGCCGACAGACACAGTCTTGGGTCTTAAAGGACAGAAATTCCAAGTGCAAGCGTTTCAGAAAAAGACCAGTCTCTTGGTGGGTGACACAGGTTGGGCATGGACTCCAAGGCAGCTAGCTGCCCACCTAACGGGAGGTGCCCCGCACAGGGCGCTCAACAAGTGTCTGCTCTCCTGGGCCTGGCTGGTTGGTTCTGGTCGGGGTCCTGAGGGCTCTGCCTGTCAGGGGGGGCCCACGACACACCGCTGCACCCCAGGCCCAGGACATCCAGGGAAGGTGCCGGCCAGGGCAGCGAGTCGTTCCTTTTGGCAAAGCCCCGAGCCACATCCTGCTGGCGGGCTCCACTGGAGGTGGGGGCAGGCCGGCGCGCCCATGGGGCCTGGGGCTCTGGGAGAGGCGGGCCCTGCGTGCAGATGGTCCAAGTGGCTCAGATGTTCGAGGGCAGCCGGCCGGCCTCTGGGTGTTCCCTGCTGCTCAGGCCCCCTCCGTGGTCAGCAGAGGCCTGTGGGTTCCCACCACTGAAGTTCGGGAGTCTGGTGGGGGAAGGGAGGCCCCTCCTCAGCTGCTGGGCGCCCAGTGGGGCAGCCGGGGAAGGGAGAGGTGGCCCTGGCCGGCGGGGGGTGTGGGCAGCAGCCCAGTGGGGCCAGGCAGAGGCTCGGGAGTCTGGGTGGCCACGCCCTCACACCCTGGCTGGGTCGGTGGGCTTCATCAGAGGGCCCCTACCCACCCTGAAGACTGTGGTCAGCCAAAGGCCATCAGAGACGTAGGCCGGGCCCCTCCCAGGACAGGTGGGAAGCGGAGGCCCAGGTCAGCGGGCTGGCGGTGGGTTGCTCCCGCCCACCCTGCCCCAAGCCCACCCAGGACGTGTGGGGACAGCCACACCTACTCCAGTAGCTGTTCCTGCGGGCCAGCATGTCGGCCACGGAGGAGAGGAGCGCCGTGCAGTAGTCGACCTGCAGAAGGGAGGTGTGCTGGGAGCTCCCGGGCCACGCCGTGCCCGCCTCCCCTGCCCACCGGCGCCCGCACTGCTCTGTGACCCTCCTCTGGTGGCTGCCTCTCGGAGGAGGCGGGGGGTGGGGGAGCAGGCCCTCCGGCACCGTGATGTGGGGAGTAGACGGTGAGGGGTCTTAAATGCAGGACCCCCCTGGGGAGAGTTGCAGGGTCTCCCCCTCAGGGAAGGGTGGGTACAAGTACGAAGCCCCAGGCCCTCCCTGCCCTGCCCCTGCCCTGACTGCTGAGCCCTGCGGCCAGGCCCCTGCCCCGGGAGAGAAGGGCGCCCTGGTGTGCCTGCCTAACCTGAGACTCCAGACGCTCGACCCGCTTCTCCTGCTCTCTCAGGCCCCCGAAGTACTTGGCTACGAAGTCCACCCTGGGATAGGAGCAGGCAGGCAGCAGGCCGCTGAGCGCGGGGTGGGGCGGGGCGGGGAGGGCTCCCAGATTGGGAAACCTTCCTGTCCTCCCCCATCCTGTGGCCCAGGCCCTTTGGGTGGGTTTGGGGGTCACTGAGCCTCTGTGGGCGCCTGAGTTCAGGGTGCTCTGGCCCTTCGGGCCTGGGTGCAGACCTCTGCTGCACCCTCCCTGCAGGCACGGGGCGGGGGCGGGGTTCTGTCCAGCAGTGGTGGGCGGGGCTGTCCCCACCCCTCACCCGCAGGCAGGACCAGGCACGTGGGTCTGAGGGAGGGCTGGGGACCCTCAGTATTGGCCCCATCCCCCAAATGCAGGGCAGGCAAGGCACCAGCAGAGCTCTGTCCAGGGTCGGGAGGGAGGCCGTGTGCTGGACCGGGCCACATCCCTGCCCCTCTCAGCCCGTTTCCCCAGCTCAGACCCTGTGACGTGAGAGCCCACGCCAGCTGTAAGGCAGCCTGACGCCCAGCAGTGATCCTGGTAAAGACCTCACAGCCCCCAGTCCCGTGGCGTGAGATCCAGCCCCTCGCCAGCTCCGCCGGCGCCTCTACTTACCAGCACCCTGCAGGGGAGGCGGCCAGCGCTCCAGGCTGGGCCCTTGCCCCTGTAAGCCGCCTCGTGGGCTCAGCACCCCAGGCCGCCTGCCACGCCCACCCAGGTGGGTGGGGGGGGCCGGGGCCCGGGTCCCGCACCTGTGGGCCGTCTTCCGCGGCAGCTCCTCCCCGCTGTCCTTCCTCCGCCTCTCCAGCTCGCTCAGGAAGTTCTTCTTCTGCACCGCCTCTCAGGTGACCATCTTCTGGTCCAGGGGCTCCGGCAGGTCCCTCTCTGGGAAGGCCAGGCAGCCTCAGGGGCAGAGCCAGGCAGGAGGAGCCCTCCCTGTGGTGCGCCAGCCTGCAGGGTCACTGCAGATGGGGCCAGGGCGCGCTGCCCCTCCCCAGGCCCAGGGCCCCCCCCCGCCCCCCTCTCGGTCCGGGCAGCTGAGTCCAGCCCAAGCCTCACCCAGGCGCGCCCCGTTCTGCTGGGCCTCCTTCCGGAAGAACCTCTTGAGCACCAGGTTCAGGTGGCTGAGGAGGATGAAGGGCGGGTCCAGGGCGGGGCGCTCGTGGTACTCCAGGATGAGGTGGTAGCGCTGGAACTTCCAGAAAGTGTCTGCGTTGCCCTGCACCACCTGGAACGTGTAGCTGCGGACGCGTGTGGGCGGCGGTGGGCACATGGCCCGGCTCCCTGCGCTGTTCCCGGAGTCCCAAGGGCTCCCCCCGCCTCGCCGTCCCCTCCTCCTGTGACTTCTCTCCACTCCTCTGGGGTCTTCCACTGCCCCGTCTGCTGCAGCCTTCGCAGACCCGGGCCCTACTCCCTGGGGGGCGGCGGCCTGGGAAAGCACCGCCACTCCACCCACACGCACGCACCTGCCCTGCCCTGCACCACCTCCTAGGTGCCCTGACCTCCAAGCCCAACCCGAAGGGGAGCCACAGTTTTGGGTGACACCCCATTTACAGGCCCCTCTTGGGGGCAGAGAGGTGAATGCAGCTTGAGGTAAGGAGGGCCAGGCAGGTCTGGGCCAGAGATGCTGGAACTAAGGGCCCCTCGACGTGGACGGAGCAAGGAGGCAGGGCGGGCACCTGAGCATGGCGATGAGCGAGTTCATTAGCAGCACGTTGGTGACCAGCAGGAAGGTGACCAGCCAGCTGGCGTCGAGGTTGGGGCAGGAGGGCGAGTCCTCCAGCAGCGGGGGGTGCACGGAGCAGTTCACGCAGGCTTCTGAAAGGGGAGTGGGCTCAGTGCAGCCGGTGCGGGGCTGAGCTGCAAATGCCCTTGGGTATCGAGAGCTCTGTCCTGCAGTCGAGGCCACCCTGGGACAGAGGGCCCTGGTTAGGTGGCCAACTCTTGTGGTTTCCTGGGGATCACCTGGGCTTCGGCGCTGAGTTCCTGTCGTGGGACACTCCAGTCCTGGGTGGCTGGCCTAGCGGTGCTAGCCCCACTTCCCCACTGCTGCTGGACCGAGCTCACAGCCAGACCGCAGGCTTTGGAGGCAGCGCCGAGGCCGTGTGGAGGACCCCGGTTTCTGCTGGTTGCTTCATGGGTCACCCCCAAGCACCACCACCACCGCCAAAGGCTCTGCTCAGAGCCAGTGTGGGGAAAGCTGGCCTCGGCAAGGGGAGGTGGAGTCTTTCCTACAGGACTTCTCAGGGCCTTTATGGCTCTACTGCCTATCACAGGACTCTGAGCTGGAGGGCAGGTCTGCACCATTTCCAAAGCCTATGGAGGCAGAACACCCTTGACACGGATCACTGTGGGCATGGAGACAAGCCAGCCTGAAAAGTGCCTTCTGGGTGGGGCAGCCCCTCCCCTGCCTGCCTCTACCCCTGCAGGGCCAGCCTGGACCCCCACCCCATCCCAGGAGATGGGAGGAAGGTGCGGAGGAAGGGGGGGGGAGTGCGCCTGCCCATCAAGAGGGCTTGTGGCTCCAGGTGGTGACCTCCACAGGCTGTGCGCGTGCGTGCGTGTGCATGCGTGCGTGTGCGTGGATGCGGACACACGCCTGCACGTAGGCCTGTGTTTCTGTGACTGCACCTCCCAGTCTTCATGCTGTGACTGAGTCCGGGGGGCACTGGGGGCCTCTGGCTCTGTGTGTGCCTGTGTCCCCGCCTCCCTGCTTGCGTGTCAGGCTGGCAGGGCCTGTTTCCGTGTCCGCGTGTCTCCCTCACGGGGGCGAGTCCCTCCTGAGTGAGTTACTGTGATGGGGGTTGGTGCGTCCCCACGTGAGTTCCCTCCCTGCCCGCAGATCTGCCCGGCGCTAATGGGTGACCCTCCTCCCTCCCTCCCTCCGGCACCCCGAGAGATGGGCCAGGGCCAGGCCTAGAAAGCCTGTCTGTGAAGCTGTAAACCTGTCTGATGGAAGCGGCTCCGTGGTCACGAGACCCCTGCGTCTCCCCCATAACTCTCAAAGGCGCCACCAGGCTAGGCTGGGAAATGAGTTGTCCTTGTCTCTGACCTCCTACAGCCCAGAGACGGAGCTCTGCCCTGGATGCTCAGCCCCCAGCTCCCGCGGGCGCATGTGGGGCAGGGAGGGCAGGGCGGCCACCGGGGAGCCCCGCGGGCTGCCTTCTCTCTCGGCCGTAAGTGAGGGAATTACTCTTGGCTGCACCACCGTGGGCTCACAGGGAGGGGCCGGGGGTGGGGGGGAGCGGGTGAAGAGAGACAGGGAGGGAGACAGCGACCTGCGGGACCCTCCGTGCCGGCCCAGGCCCGGCCCTGGTCACAGACTTTCCACTGTGGAACTCAGCCTGGCAGCCACAGCGGCACTTCAGGCTGGACCCCCGGGAGTCTACACTCCCTCCGTCCTGCCCAGGTGGCCCCAGGCTCCTGGGGACCCTGAACCATGACAGAGCTCCCTTGAACCAGTGTGTGGCCGTGGGGGCAGGAGTGACCCCCCCCACCCCTGCCTGGCCCTGGGGGCGCCCACCTCACTCCCCTCCTTCCGAGGGGCCCCGTGGGACTGGGGCAGTGCTGGGGGTCATGGTAGCACCCGCCAGCAGGGCCGTATGGTGCGGGCGGTGCGGGCGGGGAGGGCTGGAGGGCGGGCGGGGCCTCGTTAAACTAATGGCCTGGAAACTGGTGCCCACGGATGAGCAAACACCGGACCCAGTGCCGGGGGCTGGGGGACTAAGAAAACAGCCGAGGAAATGAGCCTGCAGAACACCCTAATTAGGAGGCAACTCCCATGACGGCCCAGCCCCACCGCCGCCCCATCCTGGAGGCCTGTTTGCTTCGGTCACGTCCTCATCCCATTGACAAATATTTACCAGGTCGTGGAGCGCTGACTTTGCGTCATTAGCTGCAGTGGCCGCGGTCAGGCCTCAGGGACAATGTGCCCGTGATCGCCCAGTGGGCCCCAGGTGGCCTCAGTCTGACACCAGCCTGAGCGAATGATCCCTCCGCCCCCCTCCTCGCGCCAGGAGCGCCCGGCAGGGCGGGTGCCCTGGGCCCTCACACTGGGCCCTGGCTGCTGGCCCACCTTGCTTGAGGGGCTGGTCCCCCCCCTCCCCCTCACTGAGTCCCAGCCATCCCAGAGCCTGCACAGGCATCCCCGCCGCCAGCCCAGGTCTCCCTGAGCCCCCATGGCTGAGCCACTCTGCCCCCCGCGCTGTGCTGACTTGTGGGAAGTTCTCAGAGCCTCCACCAGCCCCAGCGCCCCCAACCCCCCCGTACAGGGGCCGCCCTGGAGACACCCCTCAGACAGACCACACATACCCGGCCGGAGATCAGGCACACACGCTGGGTGGGTCCCCAGAAGCACAGATGCCATCAGGAGCGGCTTCCTAGCTAAGGGCCTTTCCAGCAGGTGGGCCCGGGGCTGGGTGCAGGGCCGGGTGGATGGGGGCTGACAGGAGACCTGATGCCCACTGGGGACATGCCGGGGGTGCGGGGCAGCTGGAGGGCCCAGACCCCAGGTGACCTGTAGTGCCTACCCATGCCCCCTCCCGGCAAGCCTCCCACCACCCCACCCAGCCTGCTGTCTCTCCCTGCAGCCCTGTCTCCATCTCCAGCCCGAGGCCCGAGTTTGGGGCCTCCGCAGCTGACACACATCAGCCCGGAGCTGTCCCCTGCCAGACATGGCCCTGTGTGGGTGGGCAGGGCCTGGGGGGGCCAGCCTCGGGGACCCCCCGCTCTCAGCCACTCCAGGCCGGGGTCTCCTGTGACCCTCAAACACCCCTCTCAAGGGCCACGTGTCCAGGGTCTTACAAAAGGAACGTTCATAACCGGACTTGGTTCAGCTGCACCTTGGGGTGGGGGTCCCACGTAGAGTGGGCACAGAGGACCCCCCACGCCCACCCCCAGGCTGCGTGCTGACCGTCGATCTCGTCCAGTGGGATCTGCCCGAAGATCTGTGGGTATGGCCGGTAGAGCACACGGCGGAAGGTCCACTCCAGGCGCCCGTCATGGGGGTGCAGCAGCGCCTGGCTGGTCACGCCGTAGGCCACAAGCCACATGCTCAGGAGGAAGAGGAGGAAGAAGACGCCCTTCATCTCCACGGCGGGTAGGCGAGTGGGGAGAGAAGCATGCGCCCTCCCAGGGGCGGGGGCTCACCATCCGCTCCACGATGATGATCTTGGGGCCCAGCTGCTTGTGGAGGGCAAAGACGTGGAGGAGCCGCAGCGTGAACACCGTGAAGTCGATGGCAAGGATCGTGCGGCCGGCCTCAAACACTGAGGGCAGCATCCTGGCAGGGCGGGGGGAAGGCAGGCTGGACGGCTGCTGGTGCCCATAGAGGGCAGGGGCTTCCCCCAGGACACACAGCACGGGACATACAAACACAGGGTTTCCGGAGCCTGAGCAGACCCATCCTGAAGCAGCCCGGCCCACCAGCCCACTAGGGCTGCCCCTGCCAGGCCTCTGGGACCCACAGACCTGCAGGTGACACCGACGACGAACGGGAAGATGGCCACCATGCCACACTTGTTCCAGTGGTTCTCCACGTAGAGAGTGCACTTCTTCCCCAGGTGCGTGTCCTCATCTGTGAAGAAGCCCTGGCAGGGGGCAGACGGCCCAGTGACGGCTACCTGGGCCCCCACCTAGCTGGGGACAGCCCCGCCATGGCCAGGCTGTGACCGTCAGGGATCGGGGCTCCATCTGGAGCTGGGACGGGGCTCGGTGGTCTGGGCCCACCACTGACCTGCCAGATCTCCTCCAGCACCAGTGTGAAGACCCAGAAGTAGAGGGTGACCTCAGCCCCCGACAGCCCCTGGGGAGGGGACCTGGAGTCCACCAGCAGGACGTGGGTGAACAGGAAGAGGAATGCAAAGTACGTTACCACGTTCCCCAGGACCACGGTCACGGGCGCCCCCCAGAACTTCCGCCAGCGCGTGAACAAGGAGGCGGCTCGTGGGCCTCGGCCGCTCTGAGTTCTTGGCACCTTGGCCAGCTGCTCCGCCCGGCACCACGAAGGAGACCACAGCCAGTGGTGAGATGGGTGGCCAGAGCCCCGAGCTTGCCGCTGCCCACCGGGGCCCAGCCTCCGCAGGGCCCTCACTGACTGCCCGGGCCACAGAGCAGCCTCTTCTCCGTGTCCAGACTGTCCAGCCCCTGCAGGTCCTCTGGGCCCGTCCTTAGAGGGCCCTCCTCACTGGGAGCACTGGGGGCCCTCAGGGACGTGGGAAGGGCACCCAGAGGCCCTCCACTTGGTCTCAGGCACCCAGCCAGCAGAGGAAGTGCTGGACACACTGCGAAGGGACATGGGTAGGGGGCGTGCATATGGGGGCCCACACGGATGCTGGATGCAGCGGGGGCTGGCGCCGGGGACATGCCGCCACCAGCCCCAGTGAAGCCCAAGGCCCCCCAGCCGCTCTGTCCTGACAGACCTGAAGGTGATGAGGTTGGTGTACACGAGGGCCGGGCAGAGGAAGGCACCCAGCAGCCGCAGGATGGGCGTGCCCGAGGCCATGTCCCCCCACCAGATCTCGGTCAGGAAGGCCTGAAATAAAGGCACGGTTGCCCCCCCCCCCCCCGCCCGCCCCCGCCTCCACACCTCTGCCCTGCTGTGCCCGCAGCAGGCCTGCCCTTCCAGGTTCAGCGGGAGCATCACCCCTCCCAGCCCTGGCTCCTAGAGTTCCCTGGAGCCTCCATCCTGCTGGGGAAGGAAGACCCTCCGATGGGGGAGGCCCGGCTCGGGGGTCCAGGAGGGCTGAGCTGAGGAAGCGGGGTTCTTCCGAGACCGGAGGTGGAGAAAGGGCTGGACGTGGGGGGAGTGGCCAGCTGAGGGAGCCCCCCACCCCCATGGCCAGGACACAGGCTGGGGGAGGCATGTGAGGGGGGTCGGCTGGGGCACCTCCTGTCTGCCCAGCCCCTCGCCCCACAGCCCTCCCCGGGGCTCACCTGCACCCCGTCGTGGGCAGAGAAGGCCTCGGTGTCGGCCTCGGTGGCCACAGGTGCAGACACATGGCCCTGCTGCATGAGCGGCTCCGGTGCACCAGCTGTTACGGTAGCACTCGGAGAAGAGGTCTGCCCAAGGGCGCGGCCGCTGCCACGATGCCCAGGCTCGGCCCGCCTGCCCTCCCCCTTCGGCCGGCCCTCTGCCCTGTGCCTGCCTCCCAGGGGGCTGGTGAAGCCCAGGAGAGGCCTGCCACGCGGAGGCTGCCCATCCTGGCCCGGCCTGCCTGTCGGGATCGTGGGGGGCTCCCTCTCCCCGAGTGTCTCTGCCTGCCTGGCCGCAAGGCCCAGCTGGCCCGAGCCTTGGAGCTGCGTCCTCGTCAGCCGTGTACCCGTCTGCCCCCATTAGGATTTTAGGGGGAGCCCAGTGGCCCCGAGGAGCACGGGGTCACTGCAGCCCCACTGCCTCGGCTGCTCACCCAGGGCCAGCTGCTCGTACTTGGCCTCACGCAGGGTGCGGCCCACCTCGGCCCCCGTCTCCAGGTGGGACATCTCTTTGAGGATCTTGCAGGCGGCCAGAGCGACTGCCACGCCCTCCTGGGAGGCCAGGTTGGAGGATGCGGCTGCCTCCCCGCCCCTCCCCAGGGACCCGGCCCCTCCCCGGAGTCCTCACCGTGGCCCAGAAGTAGGTAGCCATCTCGTGGCGGTTCTGCAGCGCTGCCCACAGGAACAGGTCCCTCCAGGGGTTCTCGCTCCTCTGGTTCAGGTCCAGCAGCCCCTTCTGGCCCGTGGGCTGCCGGACCGGGCCCTGCTCCTGGAGGATGGGGGTGTCAGCCCGCAGCCGCGGCCCCGCTGGCGCCCCCCTCCTGCCGCCCGCTCACAGCTCACCGCCTGGTAGAACCCACGGCAGGCGTCGTGCAGGAAGTCCCTGAACACCCGCGACACCTCGTGCAGGGAGAAGGCGGGCGGCTCCCGGGCCTGCTGGGCGCCCAGCCCGGCCCACGTCAGCCGGCCTTCCTCGTGCTTGCGCTGCAGCAGGAGGAAGAGCAGGCTCTTGGGGGGCACCGAGCGGTAGAGCTGCTGCAGCCGCCCGTACGTCAGAAGTCCGCCACGTCGGCGCCACTGTCCACGAAGAGGCGCACGAACTCAGGCTTGCTGCTCACCAGCGCGACCGTCATCGCCTCCTCCAGGTCGTGGGACTGGGCAGAGAGTGAGAGGGAGCCGGTGGGGCGGGCATGGGGACCCTCAGCAAGGCCCCCGCCTGTCCCACTGCGCCGGGTGGCCCACACCCGCCGCAGTTCAGCCCATCCTGCCTTGGGCGGCAGACGAGTGAGGCAGCAGTGGGAGGTGCCCCGGTCGCCCCCGGCCCACGCAGCCACAGCTGGGCCAGGATGGACCCGGACACCACCTGCCCCAGCCCTCCACGCGTCCCCGCCCGGATCTGGCCACAGTCGGGCGGCACCTTCCACTGCACGTCCCTGTTGAAGATCTCGCTCCTGGCGATGTCCACGCGGTCCCAGGCCACGGGCAGCTTCAGCTCATCCGGGTAGTCCTGCGCCTCCTGGCTGCGGCTCTTGTGGGCTGCAGGCGGGGGAGGGGAGGGGGGGAGGGCGAACCTAGGCGCCGGCAGAGCCGCTGGGCACAGGGTCCCTCAAGGTGACTCTCCTAGATGCACAGCCACGGGAATGGTGCTCTGGTTCGCTCCACACCCTCTAGATTCACAAGACATCCCAAGACCCCCAGGAGCCAATGCTGGGAGCGCCAGGACCCCAAGGGGACCCCAGGGGTGAACGGAAGAGCAGGGAGCCGGCGGCCTGTCTGGAGGAGACTCCCCTCCCTCGAGGGTGTCCCGGCCCCCTGACCCGCACAGCCCCTCCCTGCCTGGGCCTGTGTCCCCCACCAGCGGTCAGCCCCTCCACAGGTGTTTATGTCCAAGGAGAAGCACATCAGGTGACAGCCAGAAAGTGGAGACAACCCGAGTGTCCATCAACAGAGGAACAGAGAAACAAAATGTGGAATATTACTCCACCCGAAAAAGGAGTGAAGCCCGACACAGGCTACAACGTGGACAACCCCCAAAACGTCGTGCTCAGCGAAGGAAAGACGCCAGTGGCCACACAGCGTGTGATCCCATGGAAATGCCACAAGTAGGCAAATCCTTAGACATGGCAGATTCGGGGTTGCGGGGGGCTGGGGGAAATCGGGGTGACTAGCAGGGCTCTTCTGGGTGGTGGAAACGTTCTGGAATCAGTAGTAACGGTGCACAACCTTATGAAAATGCTACGGCTCCCTGAATTAATTGAACACTTTAGTTTTTTAAATTGTGATAAAATATAGTAACATAAAACTTGCCAAAGGCAGGACTTTCTACGGATTTGCACGTCGGCCTTGCACGGAGGCCTTGGTAGGCTCTGTATTCCTCCAGTTTTGTTACACGTGCTGCCCCCGCCGAAGCGAGCAGTGACCGGTACACACGCCCACACAGTAGCACGCTCGCTCACACGCCCACACGCCCACATACACAGCAGAGTGCAGCCGTGCCAGGGGTCCCTCCCGGCCACTGACAGCCCCCAGGCGGCGGCCTTGCCCCTGGAGGCCGAGACCCAGGACGGGGCAGGGCCGGGAGCCGCCCCTTACCAGGCTCGTCAGCCATCTGCCTCTGCCCGGTGCACTCCGCAGGCCTCCCAGCGGGCGCGGCCAGGCCTCACCTTTCACCAGCGCCTTGAAGATGGACAAAGGCCCCGAGTTGGCGCCTCGGGCCGGGCACGTGGTATACGACCCCACATCCCCCCGTGAGAATGCCAGCCCTCTGCCCGCTGGGCCCAGGGCAGCCCCACCCACAGACTGAGGCTCCGCCCCCAGGCGTGAGGGCCTGAAGCAGGGGTGAGCACGGGAAGGTGGGGTAGCTTTGCAGCCAGAGGGGCCGGGCATGGACACTGCAGGGGGTGGGGTCTGGGGTAGGGACCAGCGCTTGGCCCTCCTGACTGCGGTCTTGGCCGGTGCATACCAGTTCTGTCCAGTGCACGATGTCCTCCCAGGAGAAGTTCTCACTGGGAAACTTCTCTCTAAACTGCTTCTCGGCCACCTGGGGCACCAGGAGGTGGGGCTGGTTCATCAGGGCAGCAAGCATGTCGGCGATGCCCCCCGAGCCCGCCAGGATCAGCCACGGGCCAGCGTGCTCCACGGCCCTGGAAATTCTGTGAGGTGGGCAGGGAGGGCCAGCAGGCTGAGTCAACTCCAGGTCCATCCCTGCCCTGGCGGGGGGCCCTGGCCCCCACCTGCCGCCCCTGCCTACCTCCAGGGTGCTGGGGTGACCGTTGACCAGCAGACAGAGGACGGGGATCTCGATGCTGCTGGAGCAGGCGCAGCACGGGGGCCACCCAGGTGCCCGGGCGAGCAGAGGGCCTGGGACCCTCCCCATGGGGTGACCACCACGGCCTCAGACCATCAACTTGCCACATTTTCTGGGCAAACTCCAGCCAAGAGGCTTTTTCTAGAGAAGTGCGGGCTCCAGGCTGCCCTGTCACCCGGGGAAAGGATGCCAGCTCCGCACCTCACTATGCGATGTGGCGGCTTCGTGGCTATTTAAACCTCAAGTTGAATATTCAGTCCCTGGCTGCACCAGCCACATTCCGAGGGCCTGGCATCTCCCTGCATCAGGGCAGAAAGCTCTATCGACCACCAGGTCAGCCGAGGCCCACGGAGCACGTCGAAGAGGTGAAGGAGGGGCGCTGGTCAGATTTTTCCCCAAACAAACCAGAAATGAGACTTCTGAAGCTGAAACCTCAGAGAAGCCTGGACCTGCTGGGTAGGCTGGGTGGGAGGAGCCCGGCAAACTGCTGGGAGGACTCCAGGCAGGCGGGATCGTCCCCCCCCACACCCCCAGCAGGGGCCCCTCTAACTCCTAAGGCGCCTCCTGAATGAATGTGGGGGATGCTTGGGTTGCGTGGGCTGCCAGGCGTCAGGAGCACAGAGCTCAGCGCTGCACCCACATGGTGATGGTTTAAACACAGCTTCAGTTGTGTTTTCATTAAAGGGTGCTCAGCTGACAGACGCTTCACGTTGCTTATACATATTGTAGGCAATTATACGTATCTTGTTTATAAATATTAGTCGTGCACTAGCGTTAGCAAATCCAGCTTTCGAACCCGCCACTGGCCGCAGCGGTGCCCAGGCCTCGGACAACACTGCCCCCTGGTGGCACCTTACGTCGGGCCAGTGGAGGGAAATAGGCTTCTTGAAACTTGGAAATCTCTTTTTCTTTCCAAAGCTCGGAGCCCACCCACAACCAGAGCCTCTAGCCAGGGGACCCCCACTGGAAATCGACCTACAGCCACTCCCCACAGCTGTGTCCCCTGCCGCCGTGGCTGGCAGCCCCCCCTCCCAGGTCTTCCCTGCGGCCTGAGTCTCACCACTCTGGCGTGCTTTGTGCCTTCAGCCGGGAATGCCCTTCCCTGCCCGTCCTGGTGGTCCTTCCAGCCCCGTCCACACGCTGTGACCACCCCCATCCCGTGTTCCCTGGCAGCCTCCCTGGGCACCCAGGCAGGCCTCATCCCCGTAGCCGGTCCTTTGCTCCGAGATGTGCTTCTCCAGCCTCAGCTGCAGCTCTGTGGGCTCACTGACCTTCCCAGGGGTGCCCGGGTCCACCAGGATGAAGTGGGAGTGGTTGTTTTCCAGGGGCAGAGGGGGCCCTGGTTGCCACCATCGTCCATGGGGTAGTGGACAGGGCTGTCCTCCTGGGTCCCCCATGCACATCAATGAGGCCTGGGCAAGGCTTCTGTCCAGGGCCCCCGCCCTCCAGATGGAGGGAGGGCTGGCTGCTGTTTCGGGGGGCCCAGAAGCGGGCACAGGGAGGGGACCCTCTAGACAGAGCCCAGTGCTGGGGGGAG